AATATGTGCTTAACTGGTGCTTTGCAACTAAAGGAAAACTAGAAAATGTTTTTCTAATTATTGTCAGTTGCCCACATAAGAGAGTAAATCAATATGCAATCACAGACAAGGCCAACAAAATGCTTACAACTGCAAAGAACAGAACAAAATCAAAGACTATCTGGACTTAGAATAACCCAAATAGTTTCAATAGCAGCTTGCTTAAAAAGGTACAATGGTACTGGGAAAAGAAGGTAAAGAAAGCATTAAGATCAACAAGTGTGTGAGCTGCCTATACTAGTCTACAATACGATTCAAAAGCATTTTACTACTTAGGCTTTCTCAAACCATCATAGTGACCAGTGTAAAGTACAATTTTCTTCTTAATTATCTTTCATGCATGATATTGTTTATTGTGTTAAGTCTAACGTACTCATTTTTTAAAAATACAGGCCCAAGGATTCTTCACCAAGCCCAAGTCTATGGACTTTTTCCTTTTCTCAAAGTTTTAGGTTTTACTATAAAAGCAGTAATTTGGTTTGAGTTATCTTTTGTATAAGGAATGAATTCTAGATCAAAAAATTTTTAGGGGAGTGGAGTAATATGAACTGAAACCAGGAACTTGCTCTAAAACTGAATTATACCTCAAACTCCAAGGTTTATTTTTAAGGGGATGAGATCTGGAGGAAATACTTGCAAACACTTATTTGATGAAACTCATATCTGAAACACACAAAGAACTTTCAGAGTTTAACAAATAAAAAAGTAAACAGTTCAGTTAGAAAACAGGCAAAAAGACATGAAAACACATTTCACCAGAGAATGTATGTATAGTAAACATGTAATTAAAAGATTTTCAACATTACAAATTAGAGAAATAAACATAAATTAAAATCACAATGAGATATCACTATATATTAGAACAGCTAAACTAAAAATTAAGATCAATATTAAATGCTGGCAAGGATGAAGCAAAATTGGACCTCTCATACATTACTGGTAAGAGTATTAGCTGGAAAAGTTTGTTAGCTTCCTTTAAAACCAAACACACATTTGCCATCTGACCCAGGAACTGCAACTCCTAAGCATTTATCTCAGACATATCAAATCATGCCTACACTATAGACTGTTTGCAGGAGGTGATAATAGCCCAAACTGGAAACAAACTAGCACATCCATACCATGGGATATTACTTACCAAGAACAAGGAAAAAACTATCGATATATGTAACAACTTGGATGGATCTCAGAAACATTATTCTGACTGGCAAGATCCAATCTCAAAAAGTCACACACTATATGATTTCATTTATTACATTACAGAAAATGACAAAATTATAAAGGTGAAGAACAGATTAGTAGTTTCCAGGGATTATGGACAGAGCTAGGGGTTGGGGAGTCAGGTCACTGTGATTATAAAGAGAGAGCACGAAAGAGATCCTTGCAGTGAAGAAGGAGTTAGATCCATATCCTGACAGCACTAGTGGTTACAGGAATATATACTTGTGATAAAATGATACAAAAATATGTACATGGTTGCATCAATTTCTTGTTTCTGATACTGTACTATAATTATATATGAAACAACCAATGAGGAAACCTAAGTAAAGTACACAAGGGACCTCCCTATACTACTTTTTAACTTTCTAAGGAAAAATAAAAGTACTTTTTTTTTTTTTTGTCTTTTTCATTTTTATCAGTACCGGGGATCGAACTCATGACCGCCTGCTTGCAAGGCAGGTGCTTATGTCACTGAGCTAAATCCCCAGCATAAAAGTATTTTAAAATTCAAGCAACATTAAACAATCCAAAAGTTGGTAAAACACGGGGGAAATTTCTAAATATGTTGAAAAGGGTGAGGTTGTAATGCTACATGCAAACCAAAGAGGAACAAAGATGGTCATGATGCTATCTAAAACAGAGATCTGAACAATTTGTACAACTCCCAAAACAGTTTGGCCTGTGGGGTTTAGCTCAGCAGCACAAGCGCCTGCCAAAACAGACAGTTTGATCAAGTGTTTACTGAGTACCCAGTATATGCAAGATACTGTGTTACAAGTAATAAGGGGGCTAAAAGCAAGAAAGGTCAAGTACCTATCGCTGAATTAATTTATTCTCTAAGAAGACAAGGTAAAATAATTATGGAAGGGCTTGGGGCCTATGCATAAGCAGTTCCCTTTGCCTAGAACATTCTGACATTTTTTTGTCCTGTTAGTTCTTACACATCCTTAAACTTTCAGTTCAATATCACTTCTTCAGGGAAACTCTAGCTCTTCTCATTTTAGTTTTATTATGTGTCTGAACGGCAGTCTGCATTTTTTTTCATTCATAATATTAATCAATCATAAACACTTATGTGATTATTTGATACCTATTTTCCTCATTACGCTGAAATCTCCAAAAGGATATAAACAAGCTTATGTAGTTCACCACTGTATTCTCAAACCAAATGACAGTTCAAAATATATTACATAAATAAACCCATGTAAGGCTATAATTCTCATTTACAAAAAAGCAGACAGTAAACTAGAGTTTGGAAGAACTCAATTATGAATTTGGAACAGAGAGAAGTCAGTTTAAATGGGAAAGAAGATTCATGTAGATCCTCTATATTCATGTAGAGAATAAAGCATCTTAACTCTGAAGCTAAAAATGAACTTTAGCCCTTCAATAGGAATCCACTGAAGTATTGAAAGACAAGAACGGCTCTTCATGTGTTCTTTAGAAAAATTAATGTGGAAGTAGATTTGAACTGAGAAAGACACTAGAGGCAATGAAAATAATTAAAAGCAGATATGGTGGCACACACCTGTAGTTCCACTTATAGTACTCAAGAGGCTAAAGAAGGAGAATCACTTGAGGAACACAGTGAAAGTTCACCTCAAAATAAATAAACAAAAAGATGCTGTTGATAATTCAGGCACAAAAACAGTAAGATCCAGAATAAGAGCGGCTATAGGACTAAAAAGATGTAAGAAATATAAGAATAAAGAATGGTAATAAAGAGCTTAACAACTGATTAGATATGGAAGCATAAAAAGTGGAAGAGTCAAAGATGATTCAGGAGGTACAAGACAGTACAACAGTATTGTTAACAGAAACTGGGAAGTCATGACTATATCCTCTTTGGAAAAGATACTTTTTTTGGAAATAATAGGTGATAGTCACACTATTTAATATATAAGACTGGACGTAGAGGAAAATTCAAGACAGGAAATGTAGATATGTGAATTGAACAGTTAGTGTTATGAAAGTAAATAAGGTTTTAAGAGAGAAGGTATAACGGGTCTTAGATGGGATTATTTAAAATAATTCGGTTTCCCACTTACATTTGTAAAACTCTACAGCATATATATAGTACCCAGTGATCTGGTGAAACAAACTCTGAGATCAGAATTGTATAAAGAATTATGTTCCTGAACTAAGATAACATTGTAATTCAGACTATGAGTTCCTTGACAGCATTTCTGATATCATCTTTGCACTGCCTAAACTACATAAAATAGGACTTCGTATGAGTCTGGTGCACAATAAGTCCCTTTTTAAAGAAATCAACCATTCAATATAATTTCTGATTAATATAAAAAGTGGTGTTCTACGTAGTAGCTGGAAAGGTACAAGGTTCACTTCAGACGAGTAAAACTTTGTGAGTTCAGACAGTTTAAATCATTTGTCAAATCCCTGATTTCCCAAGGCTCAAGACTGAAGAATTCACCAGCTAGACTTTGCAACGTGAAAACAAACAAACAAACAAACAAACAAAAAAAGGACCCAGTAAGAGTAGGACCAAAACATATTTTTAAGTAGCAGTAGAAACACTCTTCGAATGGTTTTTACTTGATTATTATTTTTTCATTAGGTAATTCAGGCTGGTCTTGAACTCACGGTGAGCCTCCTGCCTTAGCCTTCCCAGTGGGCGTACACAGGTATGCGCCACCACGCCTGGCTTCACTGTTTCCTTAATAAGAAAAAAAATTGCTAGGGAAGTGAAACAGATGAAAAATTTCAATCTTATATATCCTAGGCAAGTGAATAATGTACAAAAAGTAAAGAAGCTTCAGATGAGCTGAAGTCTAAGTGACATAACTGAAAGAGAGCTGTGAACAGTCGAGACACATACAAATGCAACTGGCCTGATCTCACACAGCCCTTATCAGTATTACAGTCAAGATGGTATAACAGGATAATCTGCTTCAATACTTGGGTGAATGGTATTTCTCTAGCTACGTTTAGAAAATAAGAAAAAGGACGGCTAAAATGGACCAGGGGACTGGTCCTTATTCATGACCTCTCCAAATTATTACTTTACTATCCACTAAGTCTTTTCAAGGCTGCAGTCGGCCACATGGCTCTAACCTTGAATCAAGCAACATTCTACATGTTTTCTGAAAGCTGAGAACATTTGTAGAAGTCAGGGAAAAGAAATCGGTTACGGTTTCATGACTCGAAGAACTTGAATGTTATCTGTAATTCAACATCTCTCTCGGAAAGACTGGCTTCCACATATCTAAAAGATGGTAAATTAGTCGTTGCCTGATTATTTCCAACTACCAAACGAACCATTTGGTAAACTGATTATTCTCTGTGCTGGACAGTTAAAAGTCGTAAAACCCTTCGAAGTTACTTCTCAGTAACTTTCATTGCTGATTCTATTTCTTCAAGGGAAACACAATAATACAAACGTCGTCGTGGTAGTTTAACGACAGCCACAACAACAACCAGGTATAACTTGTTGGCATAGCAATACGTTCCCTTCTCTCACAAAGTTGAACCCCCGGCCTTTCTTCCGTGTTTTATTTCCTTTAAAGAAAAAAAAAAAAAAAAAAAAAAAAAGGAAAATCAGGCATAGGGAAAGGGAACATACTTCCTTAGACTCAGCCACCACCTTGTGGGCAGAACGAAGAAAACGGGTTTAAATAATCACATACGCTAGGAAGAGTTGCAGCTGGTATAAGATCCCATTGCCAAGAAGCAAGCACACTAGCCGACTGCCAGGTGCTAGGACGCGAAGACGCACAGACCTGGCTAGGCAGTGCTGAGACCGTGGGAGCCAAGGAGCTTGCACCTCTTCTTGCCAAACCCCGGGAGCCGGGTGGAAGCTCGTTCCCAGACCGGCGGCAAGTCTAGAAGCCTCTCGGGACGGAGCGCTCGGCCCCGGAGAAGCGTTAACGCTGAAAGCAGCTCCAGTGAAACGCTTGGCCAAGCCCAAGCCCAAGCCCAAAGCCAATCCGCGCCGCCCGGCCAAGTGCCCGAAGCCCAACCACCCCGCCTGGTGGACGCGGTCCTGGAAGCCGCACCGCCGGGAGCTCCCGCAGTTGGAGGCGTCTCTGACTCCGCCAGGTCGTCGGTCCCGCCGCCCACCCTCCCTCACTCCCCGGCCCAAGTCTGCGCAGGAAGCCACCGAGGAGGTGGTGCCCAGGAGCCGCGCCGCGCGGGGAGAAGGCTACGGGCCGGGTAAGGCTTCCCCGGAGGGCAGCAGCCGCGGCAGGTCACTCACCGAGAGGACGCTCATGCGGATTGGGGTCTCCAACAGACACGCCATCTTGAGCCTTCCCACCCGGCTAGTGCCGGAGCCGGCGCGGGGGCCGGCACTTTCGACAGCTCACTATTGGGCCAACAGTAGGAGGCTCTGCAGAAAGTCAGGCAGTTAAACGAGAACCGACCATGTTCTGGACGCCGCTCAAGTACGAGAAGAAGACGCACAAGGGCGAGCAAAGGGGAACCGTGCCAGGCGCCTCCTTACGAATCGACCTCTCAGAAACGGCAGCTACTGTCAGCCTGGGTCGGAGGTGGGCGCGGGCAGCGGTTTCCGCATGCGCAAAGCTCTGCCGGCCCCACCTGCCGCTCCTGGGAGGCGGAGCCTCGCTCGGTATCTGCGAGCTTGCAGACTGATAAATTGCAGTTCACGCGTTCTTGTGTTCTTATTCTCAAAAGCTAGTATGTGGAGCCACCGACACAGTTTGAAGTTCACTTTCACTTTATTGTCTCATCCTCGGTACACCAAACTGCATTTTATTGGTGGAGAAACTGTGATCTAAAGCCAGGTTTTCTGCCTCCATTAAGAGTGATTGTTTCACTACTCAGCGCAGAAATGTGACCTGCTTTAGTGTTGTGTACTCAGTCCTTTCATTCTGGTTTAGCGTTTAAAGAAAAAAAAAAGTATTTTAGAGCCAGAACGCCCTTGAGTTTCAACCTTCTGTTTCACTTATTAGTGGCAGTATGTTGGACAGGTTATTTGACCTCCTTATGTTTCAATTTTCTCATCTAAAAAATAGCTGTATGAGAATGGGGGAGCCCATAAACCTAAAACACTTAAAATATGCCGGAAGCAGAAAAAATAACACGGCGTGTGTTGGCTCTTTCCCAGCCTCTGAGTCAAATGGGAAAAAATGGGTCAAATATTAAGATAGTTAAGTGAAGCCAAATAAAATTATGCTTCCTCATATACTTTCTGATCAATTCAAATCTTCTTCTCTTGTATGTATGTGTGTATGTACAACGATGCTCTTGACTTTGTTGGACAGATTTTATTTTCCCTTGCTTGCAATCAGCAAGAATTTCACAGCATAGTAGCAATGAATAGTAACATAAACTTGTCTTCCTTGGGTTTCTTATGTCACTAATTCCTTTTGCCCTGCACTAGAACAGTATTCTTCCAATTGCTCTCCTGACACATGTCTCTCCACTTTGTTTCTCACTACTTTTCCATCCTTGTATTGTACTTGGCTTCTAAATTCATGTCCGTATTCATCACCCTTATCTATGGATCTGTTTGCCTTACGAGGCTGTGTTAAGTTTCTGGAAGCGAATTTTATTGCAGAAAATCATGCTGCCATAACACTGTTTTGCAACACTTCAGTAATATCCATGCTACCTACACAGTGTTTGCCAGTCTACACCCAGGTATTCATTGGATATTTTTTAAGCCATTTCAAATCGTTTAAAAATTTTAGCCTCATCCTACTCCATGATCAAATCTGTGTGAAATCAAATTTATTGTGGTCCTTATTTTTGCTTTAGTACATATTAACATTAAAAAGTTAAGTGTTCGTGTATGTAATACTTAAAATCATGTCTTATCCTGCATACCAAACCAGACAGAGCATAGCTCCTACACATAGCATGTGAAGGTATTGAATTTCATTTTACCATTGAGTTCTATGATGCAGTCATAATATGATCAACATTCCATTAAGTTAAGCAATACATCCTCCAGGAAACACCTCCTCCAAGTGTGCATTACATGACTCTCATCTGTGTCTTCATATATTGCTTCTTTCTTGCCCCTTTTTAGCAACTTGAAAAATACATTGTAATTATAGAAGACTTTGATAACTGTTTACTTGTCTCATGGTATACACTTCAGGAACGCACTAAGCATTTTATCTGTATCTCAATAGCCAATATAGTCATTTATTAAATGTTTGTTGTGTAGATTTGTGGATTAGTTTGAGCCTGAAACAAAGATGTGAAGGCAGATAGTTTATTTGAGAAGTGTTTCCAGGGAACAGACTTAATAGGTTAGAGAGAGAAAGAAAGAAAAAAAAGTCGAAATAAGTGTCCATTATTGAGGGCATGGTTTATTGCTTAAGCACCTTTGAGAAATAGAGTACCATCTTGTATTGTTCTTGAGGGAGGGATGTTTGTCCATCACTCCCATCCTTTGGTTGAAGATTTCACAAAGGCTAGCTCTCTGCAGCAGACAGTGCTTCCTTCAGCTTGCATACAAAGGCAGTCTTTAGGTTAGCTCCTGCGGTGGGATACAGGCAGCATAAATGTGAACTCACAGAGAATTGTCATACAGCTGTGACTGAACTTTTGTGGCTGTGGGGAGGAAATGCGACTTGAGGTCTCCAATAACTCTGCTATTCAGGCTTTCCTCTTTTATTCCACAAGGCTGACATGACCATTTTACAAGAAGGAAGCCCTAAATAGCAAACCTCTAAGCTTGGGGATCAGAAATCTTGTTTCTAGTCCAACTTTTGCTGTTACATGACTCTAGGTACACTTTACATTTAAGAATAGAAATTGAGGTATAATAAGTTTTATTTCTGCCTCTGTGTAACAACAACAAAACAGGTAAATTCAGCACTGGACTGAGAACAGAGAAACACCCACGTTGACTTCCTTCCAAACAAAGATTAAACTTGTCTGAGAGCAGAATTAATTCCTGGAAAAAAAGAGACAAAATGTGAATTTAATGAAGAAAATGTAGAAATACAGAACAGGAAGTAGCCAATAAAAATCTGAAAATTATCTATATATGGCTACAAAGAATTGCTCCAAATGAGTAACAAAATCCTTATTTTTAGATGTAGAAATATATATATATATGCAAAAAAATAGGAAAGCTTAGAGTATAGCAGGATAGATATAAAACCAAAACCTGAGTGGTTCCAGAAAGGACTTAGGATAATAGATTTAAGAACAGGTAAACTTCTTTAAATAAATAAAGAGAAAATGGACTAACAGGGGCACAGAAGAGATACGGTACAGTTTAATAGGAACTAACTGCAGGTGTACTAGTGTATAACACTGAACTGCAGTTTCAAAGAAAAATGGAGACACGTTTTCTGCTCTCAGACAGGAATAGAAATGAGACTGAGAAAGAGTCAAGTATTCTTAAAGTTTGTTGGGGATTAAGAAGCTGACTCATTTGAACATAGTTTCTCTCATTCCAATGTCCTATCCAGAGCTCCTGGAAATATCATAAATAGGACTGTTGAGAATTTACCTAAATAATTAAGCAAATAAGACAAGTCTACAAGGGTTTTGCAGCAGGAAATAATGCACCTGAAACCATCAAATGAATAAGGAGTAATATGCATGCATATCGTTGTCTTAGTTACTTTTTTGTTGAGACAAAATATCCAACACCCAATGTTAAAGGAAGAAAAGTTTATTTTGATTCACAGTTTGTAGAGGTTCAATTCCAAAGTTAGCTGGCTCCTTGGCAGGGTGGCATGGAAGAGAGGCATTGCAGAAAAGAAACATGGCGTGGGAATGCATGAAGAAGTTTGCAAAACAACAAAGTAGCAAAGTAGTAGAAGGCTTAGCAGCCTGCTTTTCCCTTTTTATCCCTTCTAAGCTACCTGCACTTTGGGCAGTGCCACTCATATCCAGGGTGAATCCTCTCATTGTCAATGCACAGAACAGCAACCAGGGCACTAATTTAGTAATCACATACTCTTAATCCCAGCATCACATGTCCTAGATTCAGTCACTTCTAAAAAGCCCTACCCATAACTACATGAAGCTTTGGAGGGGGCACAGCTAGACACATAACATTCTGCCCCTGGCCCCAGAAAGACTCATGTGCATCTCTTTTCCCAAAAGGCATTTAGTTCATCTCTAAGACTTGCCAACGTCCTAACAGTTTGCTGAAAAGTTCAAGTCTAGTGTCTCCTTTGAGATTTCAGGCAAACTTTCAGCTGCAAATCCCTGTACAAATGAAAAGAAATGTAAACTCTTCTAACATACAATGGCACAAAATAAATATTACCATTCCAAAAGGTACAAGTGGGAAGCAATGAGCTCAAAACAAATCCAAAATCCAGCAGGGCAAACATTAAATCCTGTAGGTCTATGTCCATTATCTGAGGCAATCGGTGGCAAGATGTAAACGCCAAATGGCTTGCATAAATTTGCCCCTATAGCATGGCTGATGGTTGTAGCTCTCATGGATTTTCTCTTAGGCTGGCTTTGCTCACTCATTACAGCTTTCCTCAGGTGATCTGCATTTCTGGCTGCCCCAGTCTTCTGGGGTTTTCACTGCATGTTCAGCTTCACAGAATTTTACCTACCACCCTCTCAGGGTACACTGCATGGCCACTGACACCTGTTTTGAAATCTGAGTGGAAGTCTTTCTAACCCTACAACTCTTGCATGCTGCATGCACCTAAATTCTGCACCATGTGAATGATGGCAGCATTTGTTGCCAACTAGAGAAGTAGTCAGGCTTTCTCCTTTCTTGGCTGTATAAATCAAGTCCCTTAATTGCTGAGCACTATTAACAAAATGTAGAGCAAATTCTCTAGGCTGCTGCCATTCTGGAACATAGTACCCTGGGGCTCTCCTCTCAAACCAAAATCTTTCACTTTTAAAATTTTGAGAATGCAAAACCCTGGGTCTTGCTTGTTCTTGTGATGTCCTCAGGCCATCTTTTCTATTGTCCTGTTCCTTTTCAACAACCAAGTTTTCTACTGCTCTATCTTTACTGTCGACAGCTTTCCTGGAGTATTCTTTCTGGTCAAACTCAACATTTTAAATCATTCTTCTTGGCTCTTTGTTCTTAATTCTCAATGTAATATGGCTAAAAGTCTCCAACAGTAGTCATGCCACCACCTCACATTAGACTGCCTTGAAATGTCTTCCGCAAGATTGATTA